TACCAACTTACATAAGGTGAAATTGCCGTGCTTGCAACCACACTGCTGAACTCTAATTCACATTTCATTAAAAAAAAAGAGGAAAAAAAGCTAAAAACCAAGAATCTCTTTCTCTTGCAGACAAATCGCGTCCTTTGCTCTCCTAGCTCCTTAACCAGATGCACACAAAACGCCAAAATACCCTATTACCCACAACGACACTTGACGTTTTATAATATCCACGTAGTAACGCAAGTCAGCACGAGACTCTACATCATAAGTCGTGTATTTTTTTTAATAAAAGTCACATACCATAGTTGTCCATTAAGTCTAGATGTAACATTAATTCCATTGCGACGTCTCAATCGAGCGTTACATTATGACAGCGTCTGGTCACGATAAAAAAAACTCACGAGTAACTTTTTTTTGTATTAATCAACACGGGCTTTCGTGTCTTGACGTATAAAATGGCGCAAAGTATTCCCCCCCTAAAACAACATGCATCGGGATAGTTTCACAACAATTCTATAAATAAAAAAAACGAATTTATAATCAAAGTCTTTTTATGGCAAGCTCGGTGAATAAACCGTTTTAAACATCTTACCGGCTCAGATGGCTGATGTCTCTTGTCTATAATCTGAGTTGAGGGTCTGATGCATCATCATCAGACTCGGACTGAACAGTGTGTATCTGCGCAAGCAGCAGCTCGTCCGTTACTCCCGCTCAAAAAGCGTCATGAAAAAACACCAAAATGACACAATCTTCATCACCACCGCGCTGAATCCCAATCCCAAGACCCTCTGGTATTTTCCAGAATTTTTCTATATTTTTCCCCGCATCCAGCGTTATTTTTATGTATTATTTTTTAAAAATCGCAGGTTTTCCATATACGCAGCTGAAAGATAGCCCCCCTTTTTCTCCTTCGGCTCCTTCACAATCGGTTATTGGTCACTCCAGTGATCGTCGGCATCAGATCGCAGGCGATTTAGCTCTCTAAACTTGGTCCGATAGTGCTGTTTTCCTACATTCAGATAACAAGTCTTGAATTTTAAGACGAATCGTCGCGCGCTGCCTCTCTATGCGCGCGCTCAGTGTTGATGTTATCGCCGCTCACTCGAAAATGGCGCCGAAAGTGACTCTCCTCATTCAAATCGGTAAGAGCCGCCCCCAGCTCGCATGTGCATGCCGGGAACATGGACTTGGAGAGCGGTTTTGAAGGTGGGAGATAGAGAGATTTTACTGGAAGAAATCATCCCCCGTCAACGACAACAATCTTGTAGCTATTCTCTGTAACTGCACGATAAAAGACGTGTATGCATTTAGAGGATAGAAACCCCGTGTGCCTCTGCCAGTTGAGGGGAAGCACCCAAATCTTTACAGATAAGAACATCAGAAGCCTCGAAAAATAAAAAAGTAGCCCTTGGCTATAATGCATGTCATTTAAGCTATTTCATCCAGTACTTCCCTGCCAGCTCCCTATATAGAGAAACTTATGTAAGGTGTTCTTCTGTATACGCCCTATGCAAACTGATAGTTCAGTCTCAGTGGTGTTGTAAAATATCCATTCTACTCAGAAAGAGAGGGAGATATGACCTGGTTTTTCCTCAGCAACTGCTTTGTGACACACTTGAACACCCAAATCTTAATGCTGCCCTCTTACGCACACACAGATACTCTGTAGTTGGAGATCACAAAAGTTACCCCATTTCTTGTAGCTTGTGTGAACTAAAATTCAAGTCTCAAATAAGCAGACTGAATCTACATTAGCCTATCCCCATGGCATCGTGCTGCCAAAAAATGTCTACTACTGATCATTTTCCCCTCAAAGTTTCACAAAGGCTTGTTTTATAGCTTGAACATATATTAATAATCCACTTTTTAAATAATAGGTGCCAAAAATCAAGTTTATCATGGACCTCAACTTTGTTAATGTTACATAGATTGTATATAAATATTACAGGGCTGTTTAATTAGCTATATTAAAAGACGTTGAGCTACTACAGCATGGATTACAGCCAAATACAGCAAATGCTTTTGGAAGTTAAGGCCCTGTCTCACCGCACATTTTATATAGCTAGTTCACTATTGACTCATTTCTGAATTCAGGACTCCTGTCATGGGTCTGGTTTCATATTGTGAATTTTCTCATAACGCAAGTATACATTTTGACAAAAAGAGATTGCTACTGAAGTTTAACACACCCTCTATTCATTGTTTGAAACTGAAACAAATTAAACCCTCTGCCTTCACATTTCACCCCTAACAACTCTTGAAATAGACACACAATACATGGCTGCAAATTACATTCTATACTTACTTTCAATGAAAAGATGCAGAATTTTTATTTGATGAACTCATTCTGTGAGTTATCTTTTGGTGTGAGGAGCATATATCTGTATTGCCTTTAACAGGAATATATACAGTATTGCAGATTAGAATTAGAATAGATTTCTTTTTCAGTTTGATGGCAATTAATGTTACAAGTGGAAGAGGATATCAGTGTAAAAGAATAAATAACCTTGTTGAAAATTTGCTGAGTCAGCATAGTAGGCTATAGGGCCCACTACAATTGTTGTATCACTGAAAGTAGACATTTTGTGGAGTTTGTTTTATTTTTTTGTATGCAATATCTGATTTATACAGTCTCTACATAAAATCATTGACCTAGTGGGTTATTCATTCATGTGTAATATTTGGATAATCTCTGACTGTTAAGAAATTAATCCCAAATAAAGCTGATGCAGTAGCCTAAAATACAAAAAGGCAAGAAAACTTGCCTTTCGGTTTATTCATGATCCTAACATTTCGGTAATTAGCAGTGTTTAAGTACGTCTGCTGTGCACCCAGTGCACTCCTGCACCCTCCACTTGTCAAACATTTTTTTTTAGGGGTGTGAAAATAGGGGCAGTTGTAAGGGGTGAACTTGAGTGTGTGTGTTTATGAAAGGGTTTTGTTCTCTCATTGAAGGGTCTCAGACCCCCACCCCACCCCAAAGCTGTCTGAAGCAGCTGCACCCCTGTGATCTCTTTAGTATGAGGGAGGGGGTGGGAGCATGTGAGGGGACAGAGCCCCCCCCCCTTTTTACAGAGGCCAGAGACTACACACTTAAGTAACAACATCCATCAAAAGTCAATAGATGCCTGCAAGTCAAGTCTGAGAATACAACAGCAACCTTTGACCCCTGTTAAGTGGGCCGGCCTAACAAGACACAGCCACTGACTCATGCTGGTTTGTTTGGTTTAACTTCATTTATTAGAGACCCGAACTGGAAGATTTCTTACCAAATTGAATGGTCTCTGATCACATGGCTTTACAATACAATACAAAAAAACTCTGTAATTAAAGACTTTATACAATATAGAAAGCATATTCCTCGCAACCTGTTAACAGAACAAACAATTCATTCTGCACATACACACTTTATCTTAATTTTTGTTTTTGGCATTATATTTGGAAAATTTCGTATTAGTCGTAAAATATAAATGCATGCTCTTTGTATAGCCTACCATAGTTGTGTGCACTAGCAACACAATTCCAGTAAATTTAACATTTTGTTTATCATGTCTATTTAATGTCGTATGACATAAGATTGATTTTCATTCATAGATTTTTTTAGTTTTGTATTAGTGAACTGTCTTAACTTTGTAGCAAGTCATTACATGGTATTTCATCAACCCTGTCTATGCATGCCACTATCTATCATTATGGGGTTTTATGAAGAGTACCGGCACAAAACTAAACGTTTTGACAGAGATAATGCACAGATTAATGCAAAAAAAAACCTGCTGAAGTCGTGTATATGAGTTCATTACTTCTTTTAAGTTAGCTTAAAGGCTGCGGTGACGTTTTGATCATTTGAATGTGGTGAGTTTGGTCCACACAATACATACACGACATTATTATAAGCCATTAACAAGCATCTCGAAACATTTTTGTACACTCGTCAGCAGAGCAACTGGACTAAATTTGAACCATTACTCTGCTTGTGGCAGTGAAAGGGAGGCGATTGTGAAGACACCGATACATACAAAGACGCGACAGAAAGAGCAGCCACTTCAGCGGTACGAACTCAAATCCAGCCGGAAGTCCCGCCCCCCCAGCAGCTTTAACTTCGATGATGTAACCCCTGTCCAAATTTAGAATGTTGTTGATGCCTCAGAAGTTTTTTCTCTGGCTGAGAGCGCTGTCTATCACTCGACGTCACGGCTATCCTGTTATTATTGTAAACAGTCTACCCGTTCTTCTACTGTCGTCCTCCACCTCACGAAATTCTCCCCCGGTCCTTTGTTCGCAAAGTATCGGATCGGCATTACACCAACAGCACAGGCATCGTTTGGCCGCTGAAATAAAGCGCGCATGTTCATGCTCAGCTGTACGAATGAGCAACATGTGAGAATATATTGGTTTTGAGACACACAACACATCCTCGTATAATTTTGGAGCGGCGGAATGGAAGCGGTATGCAGTTGCATATAATAACCCGGCACTTCACAGCTTGGCTTTCACTACAGCTTTTTGTGTTCGATGATGTATGCATAGGCTACGCGCTCCAATCGCTCTTTTGATATGCTATTCAACCATTGCGATTCCGCGAAATTAATCGTGGAAAGTGTCATTGACATTAGCGAGTTACTTCAACCCCCCTCCCTCACCCCCCAACGAGAGCGCATCCAACGCCTTTTGTTGAAACCCTTCGCGAAACACAAATAAACATTCATTCAAAAAACTAGCGCCTTTCTTTTCAGACCTAATAATAACTATGCGTCCCGCGCTTTGGTTGCTTACTACCTCCGCTTACATACATGAATTTTAGATAAGCCCGATAATGAATCGTAAACAACACGGCAACTTTCGTCCTCAAACATTTAAATCGCACAGCCAACACGAGAGAAAACACACTGTGAATGGCAACTCAACAACAAAGCTTCGGTCCGTCGTATTTCCTCTTATGAAGCAGGGCAGCGCGAGCGGGGCTGGAGAGATTGGATATGGAAAAGAAAAGGCTTGTTTGTGATACTTACTTCAGGCTTGGAATAACCTGGAAAGTGCAATTCCATTTTAACGTGTACGTCGAGTCAAAGAAGCCGCGGTAAAGATATTCCGGTAGAACGCCGGACTCCCATCACTCTGTCACTGAAGCCCTTCTCTATCTCTATTATTGCAATTACGCCAAGCTTCAAGGAAGTTGTCCTTTTGTTCCAGCATTTATACATTGCGTCAATGTTGCGAAAAGAGGAGGCGGAGCGGTGGCACTTGGAGTAAGAGAGAGAGAGAGAGAGAGAGAGAGAGAGAGAGAGAGAGAGAGAGAGAGAGAGAGAGAGAGAGAGAGAGAGAGAGAGAGAGAGAAATAAGCGAGCAGCACACGACCTTATGTACACAAAACCCAGACCCTCCACCCTATAACAAAATCGACGGGATCAGATGAGATCACGTGTCCCCACTCACTGTACAGCTCAACTCATACGGGGCAAGATATGCGCGCGCCGGGGTCGGAAGCGCGAAGTGCCAGGCAAGTCTTCATCAAAGCGCTGCGATGACAAAGCTCGAATAACAGTGATAGAGAATATCTTTGTTATGTGTGTTTATGTGCATATACATCTTTTTACAATATATGTATTCATGTTTTGGTAACGTAAATCTTTTTTTACCATGCCTTTGCAGTTTAAAAAATATATATATGGCTAATCAGTAGGCTGTCAGTGCACGGGGACCATCCAGTTGTAGGTGACAAAGTTCTGGTGGAACGCCTTGATCTTGTCATGGTGTATTCACAAAGATAGGCTATTCAAAGATAGTTTCAATATATACATGCATGTATACAGTATTTGCTGTAAATTTAATTACTTTATGTAGTGATGCATGTGTGTCCAACTGAACCAACCGGACCATTGCTCCAGTTACAACAGAGTTGCATCACGGAGTTTGCTTGTCGCTTTTCTTCTTCGCTCCGCGACCAATAAAGAGTCCGGTAGATACTCGACAAATTACTGTATATATGTAATTAAACCCAACAAAGCCATCTTCATGATTTAATTCAGATTAGCTATTTGAAATCCGTGTTTGCGGATTTCAAAGGCTATTGCGCAGAGACAAATGTCCTCGTGACAGTTTCATTGTGAGGAGTTGTTGATACTTAAACAAAGCATGTTGCTGATGGATCAAATATATTTAACAAATAGCCTATATTTTGTCAGCTTTAATTATTTTTTAAGAGTGATTTTAAACATATTTAAGGAGGGGCCATCAGCCGTGACAGTGCAAGGCCTGTTGAGTTTAGCTGAGTTGACCTTGGCCCAAAACTTATGCGCCACCGGATCTTTTTAATAAATGTTACAACTCAAGAAGTAAGCTCATAAACATAAATCTGCAACTGAACAGCGACTGAACTCTTTTTTTAACCCCAGAGAACAACTTTTAAGGTGTCCATCGTGTTAGAAAACTACAGTTAGAAACGTGAAAGAAAGTTCGGGTATTTATAACCTATTATGTTTAACAACTATTTATTTGTATAGGCCTATATATTACAATAATGAGGTGTAATTTACGCCGCAAGGTAATTTCACAGTTTTTAAGCTAGCTGTATAGGCTATTTGAAAACAATAACACACGCACTTCGAAATGAAGTGTGCAGTTCATACTGGAGTGCAACAATTAAATGTCTTTCATTTAATAAAGATTGTTCTCTGATAAATTATGCATTGGCCAACTTTTTAGTGAGCTGTCTCGATATGGACGCAAATGTCCATCTGGGCGAAACCAAGGACCAAACGTGTTCCTTTATGCAGATTATACTTTTGACAATATTTTTGGTGGTAAAGACCTAAAGACAACAATAATTTAATTGATGCGACCGCTAGAAAACTTATTGAGGAGAACCAAAGAAGCTGACATAAAACTGACTGCATTTGCATTTGCCTTACAACAGGATCGAGGATCCCAGCAGAAGAATGTGTGCTATTCAATAATAGCTGGTCGTTTACATTCTAATGCAACAGGTTAAAACAATTGAATATGAAATATGATTTGCGATCAGACAATGTTTAAAGGGATAATTTAGATCGTATATTCTTCCAGCTGTTTACGAAAAATGTAATTCTAAAGTTTAACACGAGTTTAACATAACTCATGTGATCATTTCCCCCTATGTTTTTGGAATAGAGAAAACGTGTTTGCCCGTAAACTGACAAATGAGACACACATCGGATCTTAAAAATGCGCATCAATGTAAAATATGAAATCTTAGAAATGACAAACATCGATGGAGACAGCATTGCTCTGGAAGAGATCAAAGCGGTTTATATAAAATTTAGTAAAAGAATTGGACAGATATCTGTGAGAAATCTGCGTGTGAAAAATACCAACAGTAATCGCAGGCAAATAAGATATTTTTTCTTGTCATAATTGAACGAACTAAAGTGAATTCGTTTTGCGGAAGGACACTGTGACGTCAAAATGCTTTGTATTTCTATGAAACAGAAACATTTCTCTGCTACACGAACACCATGTTGCAACAATAACTGTTACTTACAACGGACTTTTCAGTGGATTAAAACAATAACATGTTTTTAAGAGAATGTTTTTTAACAAAATGAATGGCTTTTTGGTTATAGTTTTCACTTGGTTATTAGTTATAATTGAACTTAAGTGATTGAGTTTTGACCGCTAAAATAAATATGAGTTTTAGTTTTAAAGTGAATTGTATTAAAGAGAATGCCATGAATATGATCTTGTGTCTGTCTCTGTGCTATTGCATTATTTGGCGCTGAATCATGAAGACACTGTTAGCTACGTTTGAGGGTTTTTAAGACAGGTATTTTAGAAGTGTCGTAAAGATTTGAATGTGATATACGAGCAATCGAAAGATATTAAGCTTGTTTATATCCTACTTTAACAGTGACTGCAATTAATACAAAGGGGGGAAAGTGTAAATACACCTATAGACAATGCGTCTCTTCGTGTAATGTAAAATCCGTATGATATTTTACGCTATATTATGTTGTTATATTCGTTATAAGCACGAAACATGCTTGAGTGGCATCGAGAAGCATTTACATTTTGAGCCAAACATAAAATAACAATTAAATAATTTCTGGCATAGTATGGATCAGTGTAATTATATGAAGGCTAATTATATGTCCTCAAATCGAGTCGAAATTGATTTATGAGCTGGACAGTTAAACCCAAACCTATGCAGATGTGGCTTTAAATAAAAAGCAACAAAAAATTTGAAACAAAATATAATTTTTTACCGCTTGTTCAAATGGAAGACCCTGAAATAAATAAAAAAACAACCTTAAAACATTGACTGTTTTGTGTCCACAATGTCATATTTGCAGTGTCATGCGAACTATAAAAAAACGTTGCGCAATATGCATAATTAAGGTAATAAAATAAGGCAATGTATCCAAAGTGATTCCCGCTCTGAAGTTGGATTGATGAAACAATTCATTTCTGATTTCTAGGTTCTTTACTCATCCTTTAAGTTCAAACTATACTCATTAAAGTACAGGCTTGACATACCTTTTCAATGTGATGATCTAATCCAAAAAGTTTTGCACCACCCTCTCTTTTCAGTGTCTCACACCTGTCATAGAAGAACATTTAAACGAAGTGAGGCTGTCCCTCACCCACAGATTGTCTATCTATAACCTCATATCCATCCCTCATGCTCCCTGTCTCTACGGTTGTCTGCACCTCTCTGGGTTCATCCTGGGTGTGCCCATGTTCATGAAAGTCATGGGCAAACTGATCTAGGATCAGATTCCTCCTCACTTTACAATGATAGTGACCCAAGCCTATTTATAAAGAGTTGCTGCCCTCTTCGATTACATATCCCTCTGCCTCTTCTCACAGATCCTCGCTGTATCCAGGCTCTCTCGACTGCCCTGTGAAACCAAACAAGAAAATGGCCACAGAGGGGAATTCAAAAGGGTGTGTGTGTGTGTGTGTGCATGTACTAAATACTATGACCAAAAATATATTCTGACTCAATTGGCTGAATACTCCTCACTTTTACTTTTAAATGTACATGCATATAAACAAAAAATAAAAAAAGTGAAAAATGTAAATGCCAACACACTGCAAATGTACTGATCCCAATCCTGCATTCAATGACCATGCCTTTAATTGGATGTAATCCTTAATTTAACTTGAATCTATAGTTTCTCAGAGCAGACGGGTCAGGAGAGGCCTTGAGGTGTCAGCAGGTCGTGTGTTTGAAGGCCCATGAAAGTACATCGTAAGTTTGTGAATGTTACATTATGTAAATTTTCTGAGTAATTTAATGGGCCTATTACTCCATAATTCCAAATCTGCCTCCTGTTTTTCTGGGCCTGAAATAGATATTAAAAATTATATTTAATAATATTAAACTGGTAAATGGTCACTGATAACTTTTCACTGAACCGAGCTTATTCAGGTAAATAAATAAATAAATGTAAACAGTTTAAAAACATAAAATATCTGAATAATTTTTATGCTCAGAAAAGGTAGAAATAGCAAACGGCAGGAAACAGTGGAACAATTTCGTACAGTGCCTGGCAAAAAGGAAAGAAATAAAAAGAGGGGAAGAGGAGAACAAAAATAATTTGTTGCAAAAATAATAATGAAATAGAGACTGTCCTAAATTGAAATCTGCTTGACATCTGAAGTAAGAGCAGGTGTTTACAGACCAGGCTTCAGGTACTGCTGTATCAACACGAGTTTATGGAGAAAGTGAGTGTGTTTGCACTCAGACATCTTATGGCCTAGCACTAATGCAAACAAAATTTGTAACAGTAAAAAAGTAAAACACATCAACTTACTCTTCAGCGAGGTTCTGATTATAGAAGATTCAGTCATCATGTATTTTTTTCCCGTCAACTGTTTGATTACCAACATTCTTCAAAATATCTTCTTTTGTGTTCAGCAGAAGAAAGAAACTCATACAGGTTTTGAACAACTTGAGGGTGAATAAATGATGACAGAATTTTCATTTTTGGCTGAAGTATCCTTCTTTTCTCTTTCATAGTAGAGGTAGGTCAATCGAGTAACAAGTCCTACTTGTGTCCAATGCCCTAGCTATATTGTGAATTCTGCACTCAGAATTGTGTGTATACTGAACTGGCCAAATTAAAACTGAACTCACAGCAGTCCAGTTTAAATCATACACACACACATGCTGTCTGTAACCTCATGCCCAGCTGCTGTCTGACTGCATGACAAAGCTTCCAAGCGAATGAGAGTGAATACCAGAGACTTGCAC